CCCGCCCTCTGGGGAGCGCTGAGGTGCGGCGCGGACTCGCTGGCAGGCTGGGCCGGGGACTCGGCGCGCAGGCCCGACGTGGACTGGACAGCAGCTGCCCGCTCGCACTGAAAGCCGCTGCAGACGGGCTGCGACGTCGACGGGCGGGCGGCGCCTGCGCAGCGCGGAAGCCGAGGCCGCGAGCTCCGCGGTGAGTTGCGCGCAGGATACGTGGAGAGCCGCTGCTACTTATAAAAGCAAAACGGCGATTTTGGAATTGTTTAAAGGGCAAAAGAACACAGAGATGCAAATATCGGAGCTCAGGAGAAGCGAAAGCCAGACAGCGCACCCCAGGCCTCAGGCAAGGCTGCAGCCGGATGCGCCCGGTGGCGCCAGGTAGCCGAGCTGGAAAGACCCGAAGCCCCGCTGGGAGGGCACCGCACGGAGCTCCTGCAGGCCGGTGCCCCGCTGGGTGGTGCTCCCCGGACAGTGCTGGAAATAGCCTGGCAGCTTCTCACAGAGCCCGACCCTGGCCTCCCTTGACCCAAAGCAAATAAAAAGCGTGGGGAGCACAGCGCAGGTGTGCTATGGCGGGAACCCGGAGACACAGCGCGGGCCGCCGCCCGGGCCACTCTTGCAGCTGTGCGACGAGGCGGCGCGCAGCTGGCCAAAGGGAGCCCCGTGGCGCGGCCCGGCGCAGGAGGCGCTGCCCGGTGCAGGTGCACCCGCCCGAAGCCCGCGGGCCCTGCTGCCGGGCAGAGGGGCAGGCGCAGCAGCGGGGAGCCGTCTGGGTGTGGGGGCGCTGGGCGGCCGACCCCAGGGAGCGCTTTGCCACGCCCCAGGCCCTGAGCCCTGGCACGCAGTTGGCGAGGGAGGGTCCCTCCCGCGGCAAACGCCAGCACTGCGCTCCCCAGAGCCCCCTGGGCAAGGAGACCCTTGTAGGGCCAGGGAGCACCTGCCCAGGCCCGGGGGCCTCCTGGCCTGTCTGGGCCGGACCCCAACCGGCACGACAGACCCCACAAGACCGGCCGCCCACGCAGCCCCGA